TTTTTTTTTTATATGAAAGAAGGTGCGCGACATCCTTTGGAAAAAACAATTCTCAAAAATCATTGGCAATTTCTAGCGACTTGAAACTTCCACTTAATTGTAATACAACTTTATATGCTACAAAACTGCATACTCAAAGTCGAATTTCGATAATTTTTTTCTGTATGATATTCAAGAAATCGGTTCTTGTGTGTGCATATATTTTGACGCTGACTGTATTTCTGGTGAACAGTGTTTTGGAGTCAGTGAATTAAATCGAAAAAAAAAACAGATTAATCACACTGCGCCATACAGGTTTATATATGTATTTAAGCATGCCCATATCACTTGTTGATTTTTGCTCGCTTATCAAAACTTTTTTACTCTGCTTTGCGAGCAGTACTAGATTCTAGAATTCTACATGAGAACAATAATACCCATGCAAGTTAAAGCAGTACTCAGAGCAGCAAAGAGAGGCAATTTCAATTAGTATAAAAAATGCCGGTCTCCGATGCTATTGCGAGAGAAGCAAGTTATGCTACCAGAACTCGAAAGGCAAGTTAGGTTGTTTAGTACTATAAGCGTATTGATTTACATATAAACACACATACATAAGTATACATAGTATATAAATGTAGGTTATCTGGAGATGCCACCATCTAGTTTAAATTGTAAAAGCACTGATAAAATTATCATCAAACATTTTTAAGAGATATTACATATTTATTTTGTATATTGTTTAGTTATGCCTTTAAAGTCATTATTTGTACAAAAATTATCCTTGCATCGATAAAAAATAATATATTTCTATTGATTCTATAATACAATAAAATATCTTTGTTATTTTTATAGTGTAATTATGTCTTTTTCAAAAAGCTTTATACCATGATTTTTTTAAGGAAAGATGACAAAAAAAAAACAAAAAAAGGCTATATAGTAGAAGTTATTTCGGCGAACATCACATCTTCTCATCAGACTTCTTTCACTAGACTTCAGCAATATCCAACCCGCACCATCGATGTGCAAAATTAGTACAGTGCTGAGTTAAGCACACCCTATAAACTTATACATAATACAAATACATAAATACAAATTACTCCAAACAACTTAGACTTTGCTGCTTTTTCAATTTTTCCTAAAGAACAATTGCTGTATAAAGCTCAATAACCTTGTTGAAATAAAATAAAAAGATTTATTTATGGATATTAAAATAAAATTATGGCAAATTTTTTTCGCTTTCCATGGAAATATATTAGTCTTAACGATTTAATCAAAGCTTCGAGACTTTCGGGGGTTTGAGACTTTTCACAGTTTAAGAAAATACCCCTTTATTTGAAAAATTACTGAGCGACAAATAGCACCAAAGGCGATATAACGCCGAAATTGGCTTGCCAAATTTGATGAAAAAAATACAGAGGTTCTTTTTAAAATACATACATACATAATTTTGGAAATCTTACATTATTCCTTTTTGAGACAGTTGGATATTTAAAAGTTTTTCAAAACTGCTCTTAACTTTTTTTATCATAATTTTTATTTAGTCAAGCTAAAAGAAACAAAAGCTTCGACGAACTATGCATATTGGAATCTCTCTTCGAAATCCCCAAAATTTTTTCAAAATATTTCTCTCAAATTTTTTAGCGTAAAAATATACATAAATATATGGCAACATTGTCCAATACTTTGTCTCTACTTTAATATAAGCTCCAGCAATTTAGTCGTGTGCTAGCGACCAGTCGTGAAGGTAGTGTTTCCTTCTCCAGTTCGGTTGTGTTTTGCAGATACAGCAAAAGCCACGTGGAAAATTTTAAAAGTGAAAATTGTTTGCTTTCTTTAATTTTTGTTTACATTTTCAGTAGACAAAGTGAGTGATAATTAAGCTTATAAAAATATATACATACTTAACCATAAATAAATCCTGAAAATTCAAATGCAAAATTTAAACTTGTCACATACATACTAACTGATGAACGTGCGCACTTTTTACTAGGAGTTCGTGAGTGTGTGTGTGTGTGTGTTTTTGTAAGAGGAAACATGTGGCAAATGCCTGTGGAAATTTTAAGGAGTTAATCAATTTTTGATGAAATTCGATTTTAATAACCAGGTGTACATTGGACTCTTAGCCAGATAAAATATTTCTTAATATATTACTATTTATCAAAAGGTCAGACAATCATACGACTACATTCATACATATGTGCATTAGGGTGCATCACCAAAAGAGTTGTGTTTTTTTCACCGGAAATATAAGATTTGTTATATTTTGAAATAATTTGATAAATTTTTAAGAAATTGTATGCAGTTCTGGCGGCCGCTGTGGTGTAGTGGTTAGCAGTGCGCGCTACCATTCCGCTGGGCCTGAGTTCAAGCCCGGTTTAACCCAAAATAAAAAAATAAAAACAATCGCCTTTCGTAGTCGGCGTAAAACTGGTGGCGCCTCCCCTTTGTGTCACAACATCAAGGCGCACGCCACAAATCGGAGTAGAAGCTCGACCAAACACTAACCCGATCTTTGAAGTTATTTTCAATTAGGTCCAGCTCAAGTAAATCTTAATTTATTTTAAGAAAAATTGTAGCGGAAGTCTTAAAATATTATAGATTGTATATTTCCGTTGGAAAAATAGAACTGACTTGTTTGTGATACACCCTAATTTACATGCATACAAACTTATGTACACATGTATTGTATACAAAAGGCTCGTTGCTTGCTTGTAGGTACGTAACTAGCCTTAAAACCGGTTCATTAAGCATTCGGCCTATATACACACCAGGGATGTTGCGAATATTTGCATTCACATTCGGGTGTAGAATCTGGAGAAATTAAAAAAAAAAGTGTTATTAAGGCTCAATTGAAGGCCTATCTTAAAGAAAAACGAGCTCATCTCGGTGAAAATTCTCTCGATTGGAGGAAAATAGACTAAAAAACGACAAATTGACAGATCTGGCCCACAAATATGTATTTGAGGGCTCCGGCCGCCAGCGTTCCAAGTGAGCAATTGTTCAGTGCAGCCGGCCTTATATACGCGCCGCTAAGAAATCGCCTCATGGGAGAAAATGCAGCAAAATTACCTTATTTGAAATATAATATGCTCCTTTTGAACCTTGACTACTATATTAAAATACTCTATAGGATAAGCACTCGTTCAATGTTCTAATAATTTACAAAATTTTAAAGTAATAAAAACGATGACTTAGTTGATTATATCTTTTTCAATGTTATTCCTAACATTCGCATTCGCATTCGCACATTCGCATTCCGAAAATTAGCATTCGCATTCCGAAAATTCGCATGTGAAAAATGTGGCATTCGAAACATCCCTAATACATACATATCTCCCTTGAACAAGTTTCGGATTCTACTTTATAACTCCAGTACGTACTGCATATATATTACATTTACAAATACGCTCACGTACATATGCTCGTACACACTATTAGAATGCAAAATAAAGTACATACGTATTTTTTCTGCAAACAAAAAGAAAACAACAAAAATTGAAATAAACAAGCCGAACCTTATACCCGTAATTGAAATTGAGCTCATTTGGAATGCCAGCTGGTGGTAGTGCGATCAACTCAAACAAAAAAAGAAATTTATATATTTTTTTTTGCATAAATCAATGCATAGGACCTACCTCCAATTGATGCAAATATTTGTTTCTTCATGACTATATACACTGACAAAAAAACTACTTATTGTTTCGTATGTTTTGATTTTTTTTTTGTTTTTATCACATGGTGTAGTAATAAAGAATGTTTTCTTTCTTTCGGTCCCATATACAAATTTCGCTGTCGGTCACAAAAAAGTAGTAGTCGCATACCGTCTTCAAAAATGACACAACTCAAAAACATTTTTTTGCTGAATAAATTCGTACGATTTTTCTCAAATGAATGAAAATGTCATCTCTATGATTATATTTTCTAACTAGAAAACTACTGGTGTATCTGATTTTATATCAATTGGGTTGAATCTGTACAATCCACTAGCAGTTATATTTCCGGAGTTGATTTTTGAGATGTGCCTCTTTTTAAGACGGTGTGCGATGTGTTCGTGCAAACAGCTTCAATAAATTAACTGATAAAATACGTACATACTTTTACATATGTATGTAGATCACAATTCGATTTTCAGTGTCATACTTATGTATATATGGGCATTAGGGTGGCCCTTATTTCGAAAAAAAATCGGATGCTCGGTCTCACCCCCTAGAAATGTGTGAATAGCCTAAAGACTAAACTATACAAAGGGTGAGGTCATTCAAAAAATATTTAGAGGTGGCTCAAAGCGCTCAAAGTTTTCCATGTATTTTATATGGCGAAAAAAACTATTTTTGGTAGAAATTGTATAGAATCCTTGAAAAGCAATATTTTTCAATGGGTAAACTCTTTTTCGCTTCGCTTATTTTTCTCCATATAACTAAGGGCCATCCTAATGGACATACGTATGCTTATTTTTATTTATTGTGCCGGTATACCTATGTACTTATATGAATTTATATATTTACTAACACATACTTAGTCTTATGCTGCCGCTCGATTTCGACAAACTAGTTTCTCTCTTATTGAGAAATTTAAATTTTAGCTCTCTGTTGAAAACGTAATTCGTTAAGTTAAAACGAATTGTTTTAGTTTTCGTTGTTGGTTTTTATATATATGTACGTACATACCTCAAGCTTTGTGTGTTTGGAGAGCGACAAATGTGCGCACGTGCTCTAAGAAAATACATATGTAAACAAAAAGGCATGCCGGTGATAACAGGTAAAAAATGTATACCCTTTTTGACACAGGCATAAATAGAAGTGACATCCTTTTAGCGAAACAATTGTTTACCAAATTTTTTTAAGTATACATATGTATATATGTATTTGTATGTATGTAATGCGTATGTTTTCAATAAAATTATATTTATTATTTTTAAATCTATAACTTGATCATTGCTTTATTATCGCACAGTTTTATTTTATTTAATTAAATTTAATTCTGTTTTATTTTATTTGATTCTTTTATGTTCAGATATTTGATTTTATTTCATATTATTTTACTTAATTTTATTTTAATTTATTTAATTTTATCTCATTTTATTCAACAATTTTTATAGAGCTTGAGGCCGTTTTTAATGAAAAACTTATTGTGGAAAAGCAACAATAATTTGAAAAAAAAATGGTAGAAGTGATAGCTATTTCGGAAATCACCACATTTCCTCATCAGACTTCTTTCAGTAGCATTCTAATCGACGATCCCACTGACTCAGCCAGTTGCCTGCGCACTGTGCTAAGTTCGTCTTGGGAATTCTTGTTGCTTTTTCTCACTATTTCATTTGTTACTTCATTTTATCTAATTTTATTTTATTACATTTCATTTAAATTTATTTTCATTTCATTTTATTTACTTCTTTTATTTAATTTAATTTAATTTTGTTTTATTTAATTTAATTTAATTTAATTTTATTTAATTTAATTTAATTTAATTTAATTTAATTTAATTTTATTTTATTTGTTTTATTTTATTTTATTATATTTCATTTTATTTTATTTTATTTTATTTTATTTTATTTTA